CCCAAACCTCAGTGAGTCCATGGAAAACGAACTTCAGAAAACAGCCAGTCACCATTTCATGTGTTTTAAAATTAAAGATAGATGTTCTGCATGAATGAGATGCGTGTCCTGAATGCTAATTGATCTACCATTAGAATAATGTACGGATGTCTCCCCTCTTGTAGGAAACAGGCAACTCTGAAAGGCTGAAAACCATCCTTTCAAAGAGCTAGCTGAGGTTTAATATCAATGACTCAAAAATAACCTGTCTGAAAACATGATGATCTGAAATGGCCTCATGGATTAAAGGCGCTGCAGAGTAGGATTAATGCCTCCATAGTGCATAGAGCACAGCACAGGATGTCAGTGGATGAGTGTTTATTCAACAAGAATGCTCCCTTAAGTGGATACCTACCACAAACTAGAAGTCGCTGATATCAGGCATCCTTCAGAACTCTCCTCCCAGATTCCAGATAAGGGAGTCTATTTAATTATTTAATGGTTTGATGATTCTCCCATTGATGAAAAGTGATAACCATCCAAATGTTTAAAACAATCAACCTTTTGCCTCCACTGACTGTCCTGTAGGCAGAGATGTCAATTTTGCATATAAGAAATCTTTGAAATGAATACCTGATAAAGCCTTTCTATGAATTCTCTGAGAGCTAGAAGAGGTTTGCAAGATAAAAGTCAATTATTTTTTCTAATATTTATGGTGGAGATATTACCCATATTCCTGCCTTGTCCTGCCCTGCCTAGGATTATCACCACCCTGGAATATGCATTTGGAAAGAAATCTTTATGCTCTTGAATTCTGGAATGTAAGTCCCATAATTGCAAGAATTTTGACTGAAGCAAGTGAAATAAACACCATTCATGTTTAAATGATGCCTACTGGAAGAACGACCTCTGAGTAAAATACACAAAATCATGGTCTCCATGTTTGTGGTGCCCAGTGATTCCACAAATAGGATATTATAAAAATGTCTTTTAAAAGTGCTCCCAATGAGGCCAAATGATACTTGCCATTTTGGCTGGATGGGGAGGAAGGGGCTATAGAAAGATGAGGGAAGCTGAATTCTTGGGCAGCTGTGTCATAGAGGGAACTTAATTCCAATTTATACCAAATGATAAGCCCAGTAGCACAAGGTAATGAGGAGAGGGTGGCCTGGATGTTTATACAGTAGCACACAGACATCTTCCTTTATGGTGCCAAATCCATATGAGAAGTGGAAAACTCCTCTAAATTAGATACCAGCCCAACACATCCTTGCATCATTGCCATTTGGTCCATTCAGGACCAAAACACATAGTGTTCTAGAACTCTGCTGACATCATGATAGTGGGTTTAAAAAGTTATTTTTTAGAACTGATAATATATTCACAACTTGATATTTTCTTGTTTGTGATGGGAAAGGGGAAAAAAGATTTGGGAAAAAATTAACCTCAAAAGTCCAATATCAATTATTGTGAGCTGAAAGCACCCAACTTGGGAAATAAAGTCCCAATAGTTAAAATATTCTCTTTTCCTATAAAAATCCAACAAAGCCGTAAAAATAAAGTACATAAAATGTCTCTTAAATTTATTTACAAACAATAAAGGAATAACAATGTTACCTCAAATTTTATAATTTCATAAAAATCTTCTACCAAAAAGAAATCTTTTTCTCTCCTCTAAATACTCTGAAATTGATGTCAAATCAGTGCTGAGTCTCTAGTGATTGTCATGAGTTTTTTAAGTTTTGTGTACTAAAACCCCACTCCAAAACTCGATCTGTTATTTCACTGATACAGAGCACAAAGGGTTATTTAGAGATCCCATGTAATGTATAAAATTGTATGGTGCCTTTCAGTAGACCTCATGCAACTAAAAACAATATTTTAAAGGAATGTTATTGCCCAAGGGCATTTCCATCCTATTGCATAATATAGCATCTCTTCTTAAAGTCTTCTGGAGGTACTGTTAATGCATTGCACCAGGGCAAAACATTTTACAAAAAAAAAAAAAAGTTAAAAGCAACTTTATCATTAGCAATATAGTTCTAAGATTTGAACATTCCTTTCATGGCAAATGACATCAGACATTTATAGATAGGGGCTGCAGCTATATGGCTAGCTTCTCTAAAAGTGCCATGCAAAAAGATATTTAAAACCGTATTTCCATTTGCATCTCTCCTCTGCTTTTGCTTGTCCAAGTGTTGCCAAGCATCTCACTCTGAGGTTCTCACGTGTTCTCCCAGGCACATTGGGAACTCTCTAAGCCAATGATCTGATCATTAATAAACCAACTAAATAAAATTTAAAACTTGGACCACAAAATAAAAACCCTGGAGCATATAAATCCTTGCAAATGTTGACTAATTTTTTCCAGTTGACTATCTACTCTAATCTGAATATTTATTAAGTGTATATCATATGATAGGCCCTACTGAGGTACCTGTGGCATCTATGGTGTGTGTGTGTGTGTGTGTGTGTGTGTGTGTGTGCATGTGTGTGTGTTTGTGGCCATATAGTTAGTGGCTATTCGAAAGCTGGGATTCCAAAAATAGTCCTTCCTCACTCCAAGTCCAATACTCTACCCATTGATGGCTTCCTTAGTGGAAATGTAGAAGGAGGAGGGGAGAAAGCAGGCCTTTGCAGGTTATTATTATTATTATTATTATTATTATTATTATTATTATTATTATTTTACAGATTATTTTCTAAAGAAGATCACATCATTCCATACATAGCCGACAAAGAAGAGTAGACAATGCAAGATCGTATTATGTTCACAGTTTCTTAGTTACCAAAATTTTAATAAAATTATCATTTGACTTCATAGATAAAACAAAAATCAGTTTCAAATACTCTCCTCCAATCAAGCTGCTCTCATGCACATTGAGATGTTTGCACTCAGTGAGCTATGGTTCCAGAATCATCCTGAAACATCTCCACTCAGCATGCCTGGAGGCATGTCTATACCTCATGCCATTCTACTGCCCCTGTACTTGCACTTGACCTGGATCCTCACCTTCCCAAAACCCCAAAGGAGCCAAGATCTGTACACTGGAGAGCAGTTAGATTTGACAGTGGAGAAAGCCCTCTCAGAATCACTGCTACAAGGTCCATACTTTCATGCTAGACAAATTCACAGCCATCCCTTTTCATCTGGCAATAGAGCTCCATGCAGAAGTAAGAAGTAACAACAAAAGCAATAAAAAGCTGGAAAAAATTAGACCATTGTCAAGCTGCAGGCATGACAAAAACAAATATCTGCTCATGGATTCAATATGAGAAAGGATGCTGATGAGAAGGTAAAAGTATCATTTTCACTGGTTCCAATTAGCTACTATTGAATAGCCAGTAGAGAGACGCTGTGTGTGTGTGTGTGTGTGTGTGTGTGTGTGTGTGTGTGTGTGTGTAGATTAACTTCAGAGAGAAAAGAGATAGCAATTTCATAGTGTCTAAGAAAGTGGCCAAATCAGATGTTCAAGAGTAACTAAGAAATTCACAAACTCTCCCTGTCTTTTCTCACAGTCTTTAGCACTCAATTTTTAACCAGTGTTTTGCAGGGGGGAAAAAAATCGCAAAGTTTTGCACATATGCAACCTGCTTTGAAAATTAAAACTGCATCTGGATAATGGACCAGCCCAAACTGGGCAGTGATACATTTGATGGTAGGGCAGAAACCCAAGCAGCAAGGTAAAGCTTGATAGATACCAGAAGTATAGATAGGGACTGGTCCTGCGTCCTACATACAGGAACTTCCTAGTGCCCTTCTCCCACTGGCAGACTAGAACCTGCAGAATTAACCAGCTGGGTCTAATGGGTTGATGTCATTTTGGCAATGCCAATATTAGGCAAACCTTTCTCTTTTCAGGGCTCCCAAGGACGGACATAAATAATGACCCCTTTGCTAAAAGGATGCTTATGTTACTCCGTTTTTAACTCATTCTTTATTCATTACAGAATAAGGTTTTGTTTTTAGGGACCAATGTGAAAAACTGCTTCCCATAATTTCCCAAAGCTTCCTTTGAAATTCAATGCTATAAATAAAATACATACTTAGTTACCAGGCAGAATGCATAACACATATGTTACTTTGGCCCAAACATCATAGGGAAAAAAAAATCTCAAAAGTTAAGTTGATCATCAAATCTGTTTGGAGCCACAGTAGGGAATCAGTTCCTAATGTAAGGGTATCTCTTTATATCTACATTTTTCCTAACTCATTCTGTGAGTTCTACTGACTGGCCAACCTGCAATCTACCGTTCTCCTTACCCCTGCTGCAACAGCAAACACACCCCTTCTTAAGGAGATTTCCACAGAAGGTTGCATATTTAAACTCGAGTTGATGAAGCTTTTGATAAAGACCTAATAATCAATTCGCCATCCTCATTACTCTTCAGAATTGTGTACACACAGCCCAATTTCTCCAGTTTTTGGCTACTTTCGGAGGTTATTACCCAGTGTGCAGCTGAGCAGAAAGATAACCACATTCATTCCCCTTATCTGTAATGATGTATGTAATACATCCCAGCACTGGGGTGAGATGATTGGGGAATAATAGGGTTGTAAGAACGGCCTTGATGACAAACAATAGCGTAGCCTTCTTTCCCTGAGAGAGTGAACTGCATGCCCAGGGCCAAGGCGAGAGGCAGGCAGATCTGGGCACCGGCGTGGCCCCCAGCATCAAGTTTGCATTTTCCAGCAGGGAGCAGCTGTTCCCTCACTGAACCAGCAATATCTCCACAGAGGGTAGAACATGCAAAAGCTTCCACTCTCCAGCTCCGGCCAGGACACTGCCAGTGAGTACCCGGGCTTCTCTGTGTTTGGAATCAAGTGTCATCTAAAAATAACTAAGGATTCAGGGACAAGTCAGTGCACAGTACAGTGCCCAGAGGCAGGGGTCAATGGTTCCCTGGTGAGGGCTAAAACTCAGCCCTTGTGGTTGTTTGGCAAACTAAGTCTGCCTCCATTTTCTGTGCTCAGCTCACAAGACATTGCTTCCTGCCACGGCAGGCAGAGGAGACCTTACCTTCTGCAGAAGCTGGGAACCTGAATATTTGGCTGCAATGGATTTGATCTCCCCACCAAAAGCAGAGGCCCAGAGCTTCACACTGCAAAAGAGAGCAGAGGACAGATGTCACACAAGGGGACACACAGGCAACAACACCACATAAAACCCCAAAACACACACACACACACACACACACACACACACACACACACACTACTGTTGCTTCAACTGCACCCTAATGGAGTATTTAAATAATTAAAAAAAAAAAACCCTACCAGGCAGCGCAGAAAAGCCAAGCCAGGCAAAGTACAAGCTCACCAGGGTACCTGGAGTTCACCTGCCTAGGCAAGGTAGGGCCTTGCTTTGGACTAAGCTGGCCGGCCGGTTTTCCTCCAAAGAATCGCTGGTATTATTTTATCTAAATTCCTGGAGGAAGACCAGTTAGATAGCTGTGAACTCAGACCAACTTACACATCCCGGTTTGCAACACACAGCCCCAACCAAGGTGCTCAGGAAGGGCGGTTGAGAGGGCTTAATTAAGGATCATAGCAAAGTTTGATTAGGTAAACAGCGGTCAACTTGCTCGGGGAGATTGACGCCGGGACCTGCAGTGGTCCTGGCTGAGCTCTGTTTTCAAACCTGACAGACGGGACTTGGGGAAAGGAGTCCGAAGCAAGCTTTGGGGTTGCTGTCCCTAGCATGCAGCTGAAAACAAACCCGGCGCCTAAAGAAGGGGCACCTGCACTCGCCCAACCAAAGTTGGGTGGCAGCAGCAGCAAGAGCAAATGTTAGATCAAGCCCCTAGCCCATGGATCCCCCAGCCCGGAGGCGGAGACGGCAGCAGGGGGAAAGGGCACTTACACTGACAGGGGGATCTGCTGCTCCGAGCCGACCACGTCCACCAGCGTGGTGTTCAGAAACACCGTCCAGAAGGGCACGAAGATGCCCCAACAAGAGCGTAGCAGCCTAGGCAGCGCCGGCATGGTGGGCTAGCTGTCGGGGGCACTTGCCAGGGACACTCGCGCGGGAAAGCTAGCCCCAACCCCCAGCAGAGCGCAGCGGGGTGGACGGGCTCCTCCTCCTCCTCCTCCTCCTCCTCCTCCTCCTCCTTCTCCTCCTCCTCCTTCTCCTCCTCCTCCTTCTTCTTCTCGCCTTTCTCTCTCCCTCTGTGTTTCTCCCTCTCTGTCTCTCTCTCCTGGCTGAGAGCTTACTTGGGAAGGAGCAAAAGGGAAAGGGAAAGGGGGGAGGGAGGAGAGAGATGAGGCAAGGATGGAGGGAGGGAGGAGGAGAGGAAGAGGGACAGCTAGGTAGAGGGAGGGAGGAAGAAGAGGACAGAAGGCTAAGCTGGCCGGCCGGGAGGCTTTCCCGGTTGGTGTGTTCTCGTCCCTCTACCACCACCACCACCACCACCACCACCACCCCACCCCACTCCTGGGAGCCACTGCCCTGGGGTGGGATGGAGCAATGGAGAGATAGAAGGATGAAGCGAGGGAGGATGGCAACAGAGCGAGGACCCTCCGGAGGCGCAGCGCGAATGACTTGAAAAGTACTGTGTATGTGTGTGCGAGAGAGAGAGAGAGAGAGAGAGAGAGTTGTGTGTGTGTGAGTGTGTGTGTCCTTGGTAACGGTGGCGAAGCACTCGCCTGCCTGCCTGCCTGCCCGCCCGCCCGCCTGCTCTCAGCAGCAGCAGCCAGAGCCTGAGTCTGAGCCCCAGCCCCTCTGCAGCCTGTGCCTGAGCCCGAGCCCGCGCCGCCGCTGCCTGCGCGCAGTCCACCCCAACTCCGCAGTGAGCGGCGTGAGCGCCGGGCTGACTCCAGCCTGACCCCGCGGGGCCCCCGCCTTCTTCTTCCTCCTTCTCCTCCTTCTCTTCCTCCTCCTCCTCCTCCACCCACCCCCACCCCCGCTCCTAAGAGCGCCCACCACCCTGAAGAGGGCCGGGCCGGACCCGGGCCAGCCAGGCAGCCGGGAGGCGGCGGAGAAGGCGTCAGCTAGGAGCAAGACTAGAATGGAGGGAAGAGGGAGGAGATGAAGATCTCGGGGCGCCGGGGCCCTCTCGCTAGCTCCCTAGCTCTCTGCCCTGCTCAACGCTCCCCCTCCCCAGGCCGGGACGGTTTGGCCATTGCCCACTCTCAGGGTTGAGCCCGGGCCCCAGTTGCGCCCAGCCCTGCCTAACCCACGCCCTGGCCCAGCCACCGACTGGGGGAGCCTGGTTGCTGCCGCCGTCTGTGTCGGGGCTCGGGGATGGGAAGAGACAGAGGAGGGGTAAGGTGGAGGGCAGCCGGCAAGAAAAGTCCGTAGTTGAGCTCCGGCGAGGTGAGAGAGGGCGCCTGGCTGCAGAGAGTGCAGAAGGGAGCAGATCGGCCAGACAATTTTTTTTTTCCTGGGGTGGGGGTAGATGGTGGATTTGGGCTTGTTGGGGCTAAAACCTCGAGCCCCGGGGGAACCCCGGCTGATTCTGACGAGCGCACTGCTGCGTGACAAGCATCTGCCATCCAGCCCCAGAGCCTAGGAGGAGGAAAAGGAGAAGGCGCAGGAGCACGGGCCGGGCCTTGGTACCAGCGGCTCGGCCCCCACTCCCTCCCGGACCAGGGAAACAAAGCGGCGGCTTCCCCGCTCTGCCCCCTCTCCTTCGGCTCCAGGTCGGGATCCCACAGAGAACTGAGTCATGTGTATGCAGCGTGCTCCCTACCCGGGCACCGAGCCACGCTGGGGGTTGGGAAGGAGAAGGCTAGGGCTGGGGGGTAAAGACTTGGGGTGTCCCCTCCCTCACCCTGATTTGTAAGGTGATGCCCAGATGCAGGCACCTACTCCCTCCGAATCCCTACACACTATAGCCCCAGGTCACAGGGCGTAAAAGCTTCAAAATGGGGGGAAATGCCTCCTGAGTGCGCCCAGGCAGGCTGAGCAATTGGAACCCCCAAAATACGGGATTCACTGGGAGACTAGCGGGCATCCCCCTACCAGAAGAAAAGGGCCAGGAAATCCCTGGAGGCCCCAGGTACCCAGCACTGTAAGGGCAATTTCCTCGCACCTGTCTCCGCCCTCTCCCCTACCCCGCCATCCTAAACCATCCCTGCACTCGGGACTAGGACGCTGCACAAACCGTACCCCCTTTACACCCTCTTTCATCTTTGTCCTCAGGTGTTTCCTAGGTTTTGCTAGGTTATGCATCACCTAGAGAAGCAAAAGATTTTCTCGGGTGCGGGGAACTTTGGAATGTATACCAGCAGCGTGCTGGGGCGGGGATGTCGTGGACAACATCGGCTGAGTCATTCTCGCTGGTCCAGGAGTTCAACTCTGCCTTGACAGTAGGATGCGTACAGCCAGCCCTGCCTTCTGCGATGCCTAATTAGAGCTGGTGCTTTCACCCATTGGTTGTGCGACAGAAGCTGCTGCCTTCAAGGAGAAAGGGGGGGGGGGGAGGCCAGGGCAGGGCAAGATGTCTCTTGCCTTGATTTAATCTATTTCCATGACTCGTGTTTTACTTTCTCCACCCCCCCCCTTCATCCCATTTAAATGGAAATCTCTGCCCTAAACAGCTGGCTTGACATTACAGCCACCCCAGACCTGTTCTGATGAGATCACGTCGCCTACGGAGACCCCCACAGTGTGGTCGATCCAAGGGGGCTTGCACAGCTGACGAAAACCTGGAAAGTTTGTGAAAGCGTGGCTTTCAGCAGTGAAGCTTCTGGGGAAGAAGGAGGCGAGGCCAGCCCTCCCTCCTGCTTCCCCACCCCTTCCACCCTCTGGAAAACTGGAATGTAATTGGAGAGTTGAGAGGGAGAATAAAAGGGGCCAGTTTGCTTTTGAGTTGGGGCGGGGGATAAGAGAAAACTTCCCCCTTTGTTCATTTATCCCCCCGCCCGCAGATCTGGGCTGCCTGCCATCCAGGACGTCTTTCTATATCTGGGTTTACTATGGTTCAATGTAGGTATTACCAGGTGCCCATCCTTAGCTAGGCAGAAAGCAAAGATTTCTGTGGTTGGCTGGTGAGGTGGGTAAGCTTTCCCCACACCTTACAATCCTCCTTTAACACCTGGGAAAAACCTTCCCAGAGAAAGACTGTCCAACAAAGACGCTTTAGTAATGTGACTCAGGATCAGGGCTCCCATTAGCATGAGTTTGGGTTGGTTTGTTTGTTTTTACATTCTCATTTGAGGGGCAGTCTCTCTACCAACTCAGTGAATTCCACAGCCTGCAGTGCTTGTCCCCACCCCAAATCCAGTTAAAAGACAGCATGAGACTTCCAAATTTGTTTGGACATTAAAATATGAGGCTCCATTCCTTTGAAGTAGCATCGTCGAGATGTCTTGAAATGCAGCCCTTAGGTAACATAGTTAAAGGTTCTAGAAGATCATGGTGGAGTGCAGTGTGACACCCAGGCCTGTGTTCTAAGGCTTGATACACTCTCACAACTGATTTATGTACTTCTGCCATCTTTTGAAGATCCTCTATCACTCTTCCTGCCCAATATAGGCCAAGCATTTGTTAATCACCTGCTAAGTGCCAGACACCATACTAAGTGCTAGGATACAAAGGCAAAAATGAAAGCCTTTCCCCTCAACGTGCTTACATTCTATCAGGGAATTAGCACACAGATGGTCCTCTAACCCCACGACTACTTTCCTAGCACAACTGGTAGGCCAGGACCCCAGAGAATTGTTGACCATTATTCTCTGCAGAATTCTAGGTGTAACCCTAAGGGGTTGGGATTGCTAGTAATCACACACGAGCCCCTAACCCATGGGCTTCCCATCAGCCACCAGTCAGATTCAAAATACTTTTAAGGAAAGGTATTCGCCAAGGTGTATTGAGAACAGTGGTTAAAAATATTTTGTCTCCAAATTTGAGCACGTCTCCCCTAACACGCATTCTCACTGGAGGAGGACCACAGTCATGAGGCTTGCACACAAAGGGATAACTCCCAACTCCTAGTCATTAGATGTCCTTTTGTCCCTTGCTAGAGTCCTGGTAAAGTTCCCCTTACTGTAGCTCTCTTCTGGACTTCAAAGACTGGTGTCTTTCTATAGTCCATAGCTGGTATTCTCTCTGCATAACAGGTCCCACACTAAAGTGGTCCAACCCTTAGTTACCTGTCCTTCAGGAAGTATCCTGTATGACAGTGACTCTATTTTTCCATGTTTTTCCTCAGTATATCTCTCTCTGCTCCCAGATGGATATGTATTGTCTTCTACCAGTCTTCAATAGTGGGAGATGAGGGAGGAGAGCATAACACTCACTCCCTCTGGGTTTACTACCCCACCCCCATTCCCTTGTTTCTCTCCAATATGAAAGTGTAAAGGTTCTGCCTCCTCAAAGCCTTTCTAATCCTAGAGTCTTCCACCAACGCTGGCCTAAGCCAACTGCTGACATTTCTCTGATGTTTAAAGGCCCCCAGCCATGTGGTTACTTTGTGTAGTTAGCCAATTAATTCTTTCCTTTTTGATCCAAAGGTATTGGTACTCATTAAAGTAATGTGAACCATCTTTTTTCCATATTTAAAACTTCATTTCAGGTGACTACCCTTAGATTTAACATCTTGCAGTTACATTAACTGGGGCAGTATAAGACCCTTCTCTTACATGCAAAATAAATACACAGTGATGCATGAGGGAGATCAAGAAAGGCCTCAAGGAGAAGATCGTCGGTGAACTTAAAGGAAGCTTGGGCTTCAGAGACAGAGGTGGTCAAATAAATGGCAGACCCTGCCTTCAATGAGCACCTAGGCTGCTTGGAGCTACAACAAGCAAACAATGCCCAGTGTCAGTCTGGAGGATGAAAGAGCACCCATAAGACCGAATTGGAAAAGGCTTCAGCTCAGAAATGGAATGGGAGCTGAGCGTCCACTCTGCTCAGAATGTGGCGCTGTGCCAAGATCAATGGCTCAACAAACATTTTTAAGCATCTCTGTGAGTCAAGCACTCTATGAGTCACCAAAGATCCAAAGGGGGAAAAAAGATATTCCCTGCTTTCAAGGAGTTTACAATCTGTCATGAAAAACAGCATATACATGTGGCTAAGTATGAACTATATTCATACTATACATATATGACATGTATATACACATAGATAAAACATAAACACATAAATGAATATAAAATTAGAATAAAATACTGAATGAGGAAAAATTTCTCATCAGGACAAAATATACTCATCAAGGGCACTTCTGTAAGGTTTGGGGGTTGGTGGTTTAGGGTTTCATTGGGAAAGAAGTGGCATGGTTTGGGAATGCCAAACATTGAACTTCAGACACTCGACTATGTGTTGACCCTAGGGACAGTTCAGATTCTCGGAGCCTCCTTTTCCTCATCTTCACAAATGGGGATAATAATGGCACCTCCACCCCAGAGCGGTTGTGAGGATCAAATGAGATCATGCATGTAAAGCACCTAATGTAAATCTCATGTGTCAATTAATATATTATCAGCATCTTGTCAGTTTGAAAAGTTATATCAGTCCTTCACCCACATACTAATGTTAGAAAAAATTTTCTTTGGCCATAGAATTAGATCTAAGAAAGGACCCTGGAGATCACGTGGTCCAACCCCATTTTAACAGAGGACAAAACATGGGATCCACTCTGAGAGGTTGTATTTTCTGAAAAAAGGGCAACAAGGGAGTAGAAATCTGGCCTGATGTGCCTCCTCCTTTGCCAAGCTTCAGCATCACTGAACCCCTGCTCCTAGTTACCCAAAAGTCAGGACCAAGCAAGTTTTCCATTTGGATTAATATCATATTTTTCTGTTCCCTGAATGCTCTAGTTTCTCCTAGGCCTGGTCAGCATCTCTTCAGCCATGTGTGATAATGGCCACCATGAGAACACAAATCCAAGACAATGGAAATGGCTCCTGTTCCTCTCAACCACATGATGGTTACATCCCCTCAGCATCTCTGCAAAAGTGAGATAGTGCCTCACAAATCCAAGTTTCCTGCTGGGTTCTTTATTCTATTTAGAGTAAAGCCTCATGGCAGATCTAAGGATGGAAGAGTAAATGTGGGCAGTGCCCACAAAGAGGAAACACCATTTGTGCCTCTTGCTGACTGAGAAGAGTACACAACAGGATTTGGGGGGAAAGACACTAAACTGAGAGTCAGAAGGCTTTGATCACTGACTGGCTTTATGACCTTAGGCAAGTCCCTTCTGCTGGTACTCAGCTTCCTCATATGTAAAATGAGAAAGTAAAAGACAGTGGTGTGGTGGGAAAAGCCTGGCTTTGGGGTCAGAGGACAGGGATGCAAAAGTCTGCTGCTGTCACTTCCTACCCATGTGACTTAGGCAATCCTCTTTGGCTCTGAATCTCCGGGCCTGGAAAAGAAAAAGATGGGTAGCTCTAACTCTAAGACAATTCATTCTTCCCCACTTGCTTTGATGGCCTCACAGTGGGGGAATCTGAGAGGCACCCAGACAAGAGTCAGATTGGCTTTCTCTTGACCTCTTGTCTTTTCCCACCTCATCTAGTTACCCAGATCCCCTAGATCAGAAGAGGGAGAGAGAAGAGGAAAGAAGTAAGGGAAGAAGAGCAGGAGGGGAAGAAAGTGAGAGAGGAGAGAGAGAAGGAAGAGTGAAGGAAATAGGAGAGAAGGACAGAAGTTGGCCATGGAGTAGAAGAAACAGGAGAAAAAATTCACCATAAGCAGAGAGGTCCTCCAGTTGACATGAACATGCAAATTCCCATCTTTGTTTCTTGAAGATAGCTCTCCATATGTGATCAGAGGCAAGTAGCTGGACCAGAGCACCAGCAGGGCTATGCTCTAAGTGTGAGGCTATAACATTCAAGGATTCCACCCTTGGCTGGGAGGAACTGGTCATCAGCTGATGCAAAGCCTATTCAACTCCCCGAGTCCTATTTCTGGGTCCTAGCATGTTTTAAAAGCTCCCTCCTTTGGTGTGCTATGAAGGGAGAAGATGAGATTTCCACCCAGCATTCACCTCAGGCAGGCTGGCTCTCACCTCCTTAGGCATCGGCTTGGAGGAGCATGTCAGCCATGCATCCATGAGACTTCCATTCCACACTTCTAGAAACCAGAGTGAAACAGGCTCGATATTGCCCTCATTAGCAGGGCACTTGCTGCCATGCACTTCCTCAGGGGTGGTGTTGTATAATGGTAAAGCTTTAGCTGGTCTCAGAGTCAGGAAGCCCTGGGTTTTGTTAAATATGGCCAACTGTGTGACCCTGGGGAAGTCACAACCTCTCCATGTTACCAGGCAACCAACCCTCTATGACAATGAGTTGCTGAGCACATGTCAATCTTCTTTGGCAGAAAGTTTCCTCAAAAGCTGCCTAGACCAATGAAATCACAGGTCCTTTTCCTCTTCCCCCATGTGAATCCTTGAGTCCAACATCTTCCCAGAAGGGCCCAGACTCAATCAGTACATTGTATTCATTTGGTCAACAAATATTTATGCTATGTCCATATATTTATATATCTATAAACCATCATACTTTTCAGATATGATGGAAATGTACACCATTGCCCTTGACCTCCAGGAGTTTATAATCTGATTAGGGATCAGTGACCACATGGAAGAAGCAAGTAAGAAAGCTAAGCAAGAAAGAAATGTGGTGATAGTCATGGAGACAGGAAGCATCAAGTGGGAATCTGGCTTTAGACACACTGGGGAAGTCACTTCATCTTTCTGGGTCTCAGGTTCCACGCCTATCACCCAGAGTGATGATAAGGATGATAATGATGATGATACTGATGAAATAGCTTATGTCAAGGTCTTTGCAGACCTTGACACATCATATAAATACGAACTATTATTATAAAATGAGTGTTCTGTAGGCAATTTTCAGACAAAGAAAGCTATCTATAGTGATATGGAAAAAATGCTCTAAATGACTATTAATTAGAAAAATGCACATTAAACCAGCTCTGAGTTACTACTGCAAACCTCTCAGATTGGCTAATATGACCAAAAAGGAAAATGTTGGATGTTGGAGGGGATGTGGGGAAACTGGGCCACTAAGGCACTGTTGGTGGAGTTGTGAACTGATCCAATTCTGTAGAGCAATTTGAAACTATGTGCAAAGAGCCATAAAACTGCATACCCTTTGACCCAGCAATACCACTGCTAGGTCTATATCTCAAAGACATCCAAAAAAAGGAAAAAGGATCTATTTGTACAAAAATATTTATAGCTGCTCTTTTTGTGGTGCTAAGGATTGGAAATCATCAATTGGGGAATGACTAAACAAGCTGTGGTATATGATTGTAATGGAATATTGTTGTGCTATAAGAAATGACAAGCAGGAGGATTTCAGAAAAAACCTGGAAAAATTTATATGAACTGATACATGGAGAAATGGACAGAACCAGAAGAACATTGTACACAGTAACAATGACATTGTATGATGAAGAATTGTAAATGACTTAGCTTTTTTCATCAATACAATGATCCAAGACAATCCGAAAGGAGTAATGATGAAGCACGTTATCTGCTTCTTGGTACTATTTGAAAACAGACTGAAACATGCTATTTATCACTTTTTCTTTTTTTTGCTTTTATTCGTCTTCTTGTACAAAATGACTTACATGGAAATGTTTTACATAATTGCACATGTATCAATTATATCAGATTGCCTACCATCTCAGGGAGAGGGGAAGGGATAGAATTTGGAGCTCAAAACTTTAAATGAAAATGTTAACAACTGAAAAAATGAGTGTTGTTACTAGCATTGTACAATTAAGTCTCATTGGTCTTTTTTGAGCTTTCATTGTCTTAGACTTTTCTGCAGCACTGGACCCTGGTGACCATTCTTTCTTCTCTCTTGGCTTCTGTGTCCCTAAATCTTTCTGTTTCTCCTACCTCTCTGGCCATTTCTCAGCCTCTCTCCCTTGCTCCTCTTCATCCTCCAACCTCGTCCTTGACCCTCTGAAGCTTAGAGAATTTAGAGCCACAGGGAGTCTCATGGCTCAACTCGTCCAACCCCCACACTTTATAGATGAGACAACTGAAGCCCAGTTAGTGACGTGCCTAAGGCCACACACACTGTAAATCATAGAAATGGCATTTTTACCCAGATTCATGGCTTCAGCTTTCAGTTCCTTCTATGCAGATGACTGTCAAATCATTATTTCTAGCCCCAATGTCTTTCCCAAGCTCCAGGCCCACATTTCCAACTGCCAATTGGTCATAGACTCATAGGTTCAATGATATAACTGGAAGGGAATGGAGAAGACATCAGTTCCAACTCCCTCATTATGTAAGTGAGAAAACTGAGAGCCAGAAAAGGTAGGTATCACATGGGTAGCAAGTAAGTGGCAGAGCTGGGATTTGAACCAAAGTCCTCTGTCATCAAATCCCAGGCTCTTTCCACTTTGCCAGTGTCCTGATGGACCCTCAAGCTTATCATATCCTACCCTCAGAGAGGTTCCATCTCTCCTCCTCACTTCATACATATGCAGAATAAGAGAGACGTTGTATTTTCCATTTCTTGATACGAGTAATTCTATTTGAAAATATGCTTCCACTCTAATGTAG